GGTGAAAATATGTGGATTAAGTGATCTGTTAAAGTACGTATCACTGTTATATTGTAATATTAAAGTAATTGAAATTTACTTTAATTGAGTAATTGAAATTTACTTTAATTGGTGCAATTGTTAGTATTAATTTATATTGCTTACTTAAATTTCTTTCTTATTTTTATTCGTTTTCCATGTTCCCAGCTGTTTGCGAATTTCTTACTTTTCGTGTGTCACAGTGCATCTTAAATTGCTCGCTACATTGGTTGTTACCTTCCTGTTTACCCATCTTAAATGTGGTGGACTGACGGGCCGGATATTGGATTCTATTCTTTATAGTCAGGGCTTGCGCTGGGCTTGTATCAAATGCAGACCGACATATATTGAAATTAGGCAGGCGGGCAGCAAGTTGGCTGTGAGCTTGAAATCCTTACCGAAAAATTTAGGCGTTATGAAACGTTGTTTCAATCCTTTGAATGCCTAAATAATCAAGAAGAGAATCCAAAATCTTCTTCTAAATGAAAAACGTCCGCCTGGAGAAGAGACCACTGCATCTTCCTTAAAAAGATTGCCCCCACCCAACATTGACCTCATCAATCTTTCTTCCCCTTGTTCTCAAGGAGAGAAGGTTTAGTCTGCTCAGAATACAGAGAAAGCTGTAACTGAACATGGTAAGTTAAAAACTTCTATGGATCCGCCTGTAAATCAGGTAATAAAAATTTTTTTACCGCGGAAAAAGTTAATTTTTATCTCAAGATTTGCACACAGCCGATAACATAAAGAGCTATATCTCGTCGAAATAAAAAACGGACGATACATTCATCAGAAAATTTAATTTCAAATACGACAGGGATATTTCCTCTTTTAAGATCGACATACTCATATCCGCTGACAATTTTCCATTAGTTCTTAACAGCTCATTTTTGCCATTTAGGGTCTTTGTGCGTGAATTCGAGCATTAACGTGATAAACCCACAGTAGTTGTCACTAAAATGACAAGAAAACTCGTCGATGCAATAAACTAATTAACAATAATTCTCAGAGTATTTATTATCAAAATGTTATAGGTCTTAATAAAAAGCTTCCTGATCTGATCTAGCATTAATTGTAATTTTAAAATCATTGCTTTCCCAGAAACTTGGCTAACGCCCTACATTTTTGATAATGAGAAATTCAATAGCGAATTTTTAGATATGGCCGGAGGTGGTGCCCTGTTTGCTGTTCAGTCTGCAATTCCATCTGAAGGAGTCAATGTTTCACATGCAAACTTCATAGAATTTAAGTGCATTCGAATTTGAGTTAATAGTAGCCAATTTCTGGGTGTATCATGAAAATCTATTGATGATTACATCATTCCTGTTAGTACCAGCTTATGTTTTAACGAATCCTCAGATGAAATGTCGGAATGGGGCTTAACCAAATTAATTTAATTTCAAACAAGTTTGATAAGATCTTAGATCTGGTTAAGTTAATAACGCCTCAATATTCTCTGTTGTCCGATGTAAATTAAAAAATATAAAATCTCCTGCTTTTAAACTAAAAAAAAAAAAACTGGTTTAGTTGTTGACTACTCAAAATATTCTAAATTCCGTCGACAATTTGCAAGACTTTTTTCCATCCATATGGAAAAAGTCATTCATAATTCCTTTACATAAGAGTGGATTTAGGTCATCTATTGAAAACTACATATAGGGGAATAGCAAAGTTGTCTGCAATAACTTTCCGGATCTCTCCACTAATTTCTTGTTCTCAGCACGGTTTTCGTAAAGGGAAATCTACAATAACTAATTTGCTTGAATTTGTATCACATGTATCAACGGGCTTTAGGGAGAATAAGAATACTGATATTATGTACACAGATTTTAGAAAAGATTTTGATAAATAGAATCATTCAATTCTTTTGAATAAACTTGATCTTCTTGGTTTTCAACCAATACTTCTAAATTGGGTTGCTTTTCATCTTGGTAATAGAATTCAACAAGTCATATTAACGATACTTTTTCTGACATAATCAAAGTTACTTCAGCTGTTCCTCATTGTAGCCATCTTGATCCAATTCTGTTCTTGTTATTTAAGATATACTTCATATTTAATAGAAAACTTTAGGTTGAAGCAAGTATGCAGTTTGTTGATCTGGAAGTAACTATGGACCCCAAACTCAATTTTAGGCATATTCCACGGTTTTTAAAGCTAAAGGCGCTCTTAGTTTGGTTAAACGTTGATCTAAAGAATTTAGAGATCCGCTTACTACACAAATTATTTTTACATCTTTGGTGAGGCCTATATTAGAGTATGGTTCTGTGGTTTGGAACCTTAGTTATCGAGTMCATTCAGATAAGTTAGAGTCCGTTCAAAAACAATTTTTACGTTTTGCTTTAAGTCATCTGCATTAGGATTCCAGGTTAAATTTCTCCTTGCAGTAACCGTTTAAAACTTATAAATTTCTCCACACTCGCTAGTCGTAAGAAAATGCTTGGTTTAATATTTCTTATAAAAATCTTGAATGGGTCAGTCTGTAGTCCATCTCTCTTATTTGGTATTAATTTTAACGTTCCCGCTCTTTCTACCAGGCAGTTTAGACTTTTACTTTTAACATTTTTCGAACAAATTTTGGGTTAAACGAACCATTCTGCCGCATATGTCACGATTTCAATTCTCATTCCACATACAACATACAATACATTTTTCTAACAGACTCACTCTCATTAAAAAAATATTTTATCTACTCTTAACAAGTAACTTTTGAAATAATAAACTTATGTTAATATAATTTTGAATTTTGGCTATTGAAATTTTTGTTTCTGTAGCTGAGCAGCTTAGGATCGCAACGCTTAAAACTCGCTTGCCTTTTATGACTCAGCTAATTACGTTCGTTTGCGGATTGCGCCCCTCTCATCAGTTGGGCGTAACCATTGGGGCTTGAACAGTTTTTGTTGGATTTGGACAATTTTAAGTCATAAGGTGCCATACACTAAAAGCATTGAAAAGAGCCACATTCAATACTTTTTGTTAAAACCGCCGCCATTTTGTCAAATTTAAAAAAGTTTTCATAGCGCGATAGTGACTTTCCTACAGATGAATAATTATTTCGAAATTTTTGTTTTGGACCAAAATTGCGGCCGAAATCGTCGACATCATACATCACCTTTTTTCTACGTGTCAATTCAACATTTTAATTACAACCAATAAATATACATAAAAAAATCATTTTGTATTCGTCATAAATGTATTTATTTATTGAAAATTCGGAGCGATTAGTTAATTTCAACTTTAAAAAATATTGTGAAAATCAGTGATTTTTCGGAGGGTCACACTGAGACCTTAACGCGGTACGGTTGAGGACACACAATTTTCGTACCGTGTAGCCAATTTAAGCTACACTTACACCGTACGAATTATTATGAGAAGCAACTACAATKTACACAATGCACAGACAATGTATGACGTTTCACTAAACTTTTTAGGCTCGATTATAAAATTCGTGATAGGGACACCAGACAATGACGATTTCTTAGAAAATACAAAATATTAGAACAGTAAGTTGTAGTAAGTAAAATGGTTGTAGAAAAATTCGTAATCAGAGAAATTTACAAAGAAAATACAATTAATTTTCCTAAAAATGGAAATTTTTACTCGGGAACTTTAAATTTAACAATATTTACTATTGATATCAAATGCAATTTTTGATTTTCCTGTCATAAATCAACAACAAGAATTATAAGATAATTGCACCATTCCTTTAGTAAATGCTGTCAAAGCATATTGTAACAATGCTTAAGAACAGAATGTGCCATTATTAATATTAGATCATCGCAATATTATAATTGACGAAAATCATATATGGAACCGTCAAAATGTTACAGGCCGAAAACTAATTCAATTTAAGATTTGCAATACTTTAGATAAAAAGACATATTTTAACCTTGACCATCAAATTCCATTGAGGAACACCCCTTACAATTTTTAAATTATGCTATTCTTTGGGTTATAATCTTATAATTACTTATATATGCCACAGTCAAGGCATGTGAATGTTACCAAGTTAAAACAAAGCAAAACCGAGCTTCCGAGCAAATATATGTAAAGGAAATACGACTACAATCCTTGCGAATATTAAATGCGGACATTGCACTTTAAGGGGTTAGGGGTAGTCAGAGGCACGAAAAAATGAGAATTTTCAGTTTTATTTTGCTAATTAATTGTGTTATTTTAAAAAAGTGGTAATATGTTGACTTGAAGTCACGAAAATTTCAAAAAAAATTTATTTCCCAAAGTTATAGTTGTTTGTGTTGACCCTGTTCCAAAAAAGGTGGTGATAAAGTCCTTGAAGATTCACTTAAACTCAATCGGACAAAAGAAAATTGTTATATAAATAGATAAACTCTGGCCTGATCGAAGGGTTTATTTTTTCAAAAATTAACGAAATGGCGGCCTCAGGAAATTTTTTTCTAAATTTTAAAATCAACAATTGGCCTTAAAAAATTTTTGAAAAACAAAAAATCCTTATTATAAATCCTAGTTTATTATGTATTCTAAAAGCTGTAGAAATTTCATTAAAATCTACTGAGCCGTTTTCGAGTTGCAGTTGTCACCAGTTCAAAGAACATAGTTTTGAGAAAAATGCGTTTAAAATTTCACACAGCGCTTTGAAGTGCCCGATCACTCTTTGTTAATTGTCGAATAACACAAAAACTAATTATCGGACCAACGTGAAATTTTCAGAGAATATTTTTAAGATATTAACAAAAATTCAAAACAAAAAAAATTTTTTTAAGTTCTAACTACCCCTAACCAATTAATAGCAGTTAGGGAGCGCAGCATTCCTTATCATACTCATACACCTAAGGTATTGGGTTATATATGAAATATAAAATAGGAATTACACAGTAAAGCACTTGTCCCACACTCTGAAATTTATATTGCCTATTTTGTAACCGGTAGTGATTGAAACACATAACAATGTGTTCGTAATATTTCTAAGAACTCTTTGTAAAATTTTCACAAAATTTAGAACTCACCTGATTCTGAATCATCGAAATTGACATCTTTTTGCAAGGCACATTTTCGTAGCCATGAATTTTTATAGACATCTAACTTTCTCCCCTTATATTTCACAGATGCCCAACCACATCCGCTTTTTTTTTCCGGATTTATAAAACGTTTGCAATGCACTGCCCACGCACTTGGAGTAAGAAATAATGTTTCAGTTTCTTGTGATTTTATTTTACCGTCCGGCATCAAATCTCCGAAAAATTTTTGGCCCAAATAGTCTATAGTCATTACCGCTTTACCTGGCTGCAAAACATTTGCACTCATTAATGTTTGTAATGTGACTGTTCGATTGGTGCCATTTAATCCGTCATAATTCTCTTTAGCCTATTGAAAGAAGTTATATAAATAATTACATAAATAGGTATTAAACAATTGTAGCAATTTCATTTCATTTTATTTGGATATCAACCTCACTAACCGAAAAAATTGTCTTAAAGCAGAAGAAAAAAAAAATATTACATGTTTTCATCGAGTTTCGAAATTATTAAATTTCCTCTTGATTAAATAGGGTATAATATTAATATGTTTTTGTTTTGTTGAAAGGCAAACAAGTAAACGCCATATTAGCAGATAAATGGTTATGGCTAAAATCATAAATATTATTATGAAGATGAAAAAACAACAATTGTAGTTAATTTTCGTAAAAAATTAATGGTACCAAGATTTCACAAATTTGACTTTTCGAAATATACACTATATTTTTTATTTATTTTTCGAAGTTTTCATAGCCACATAAGCATAACCAAAAAATGTTCTTCAAAGGCAATATATAGATTTTGGAGAACATGACTCAATAAAATATATGTAAGAATGTAAAAGAAATTTTCAGATATTTAAAGATTTATCACTGAATTTAGTTCCTTTCACCCAGGAATGCTCGCGGTAATCCACAGTAATAAATATTAGTCAGTTTTTACAAAACAGAATAATTTCTAGAAGTAATGTTTACATAATTCTAACTAGATTACACTTCTTCCACTCAGGTATGTTCGCGATAACTCACAATCAATTGAGAAGTAGTCAGATTTTACTAGCGGGTTAGTTAACATCTCATTAAAACAAGTAAAAAGGGGTGTAACCGAACATTTTATACTCTGGTAAAACACMCTCTCTTCTTTTCATTGAGATAACTCAAATATTGGCCGATATACATATGCAGTACAAAGCCACCCTGAAGTTCGAAAATTTTTGTATTAAGTAGATAGGGGCTGAGGAATATATTGGTCCGATTTAACTCATTTTTGATATACAAACATATCATTTTAAGAGAAGGATTATCGCTTAAATTCAGTTATATATATTACACACCGACATTTTCGATCAAAGTGGGAGTTGCCACGTCCATCGTCCAATTTTCACACCAGCTCTCATAAATTGCTCTTATACCATATCGATGGTAAAATTTAATGTTTCTGGCGACTTTAGTTATTGATTTATCGCGCTTGTAGTTTGTAACAGTACCGTTATATGGGGAGTGAGAGGGGCTATCCTCCGATTTTATCTATTTTCACACTGTCGGGTGAAGTTCATATAAGATTTATGCTTACAATCATTTATATGTATACAACTGTGATCAAATTGAAAGATGAATTTTCAATTTTTACTTCGCGTACTTTTCGAATTGGTAAACATTTTGTGTCTGTGAGTTGGTAGTACTCTTAGTGACATCTATGCTAAATTTCACATCAAAATATTTATTAGTACTTGAAATACGCGTCATTTTGTGAGGCTCTAAAAGTGAATTCTTCGATTTTTACTAGGTCTGAATTGAGTGAACAAAAAAGTGTGTTATGCACCATTTCGTACTAAATTGGTTATTCGTGTTAATTTCGCCACATTTTCAGCTAATATCGTAACGCAACCACCGCATTCGCCTGATTTACCTTCGTGTAACTTCAATTCAATGAACACTCCGAAGACACTGTTTTGAATCAATTGAGGATATAAAAGCTGAATCGAAAAAGGCGGAGGATTGTTCCAAGCGCAATGACGACTGGAAAATTCGTTGGCATAAGTATATTGCAGCGATTGAAATGGACAAAATTCACCTTTCAATTTGATCAAAGTAATATAACTCTATTGAGAAATAACTTAAAATTTTTGTAGAGCAGTAAATTATCTATAAAACTAAAAATTTTCCCATTTATAATAAGAAGCTTTTTTTTTTATTTAAATAATCAAAGTTTAGCAGTTAATATTTTTTAAACAGTGTCATAACTCAAAAGACACGATTTTTAAGTTAAATATGCAGAGTGCGTGCAATGGCATTGTCCATATTGTATAAATATTCCATTCTGATGCCTTATCCACTTGTTATGTCGTAATTGTTTTTAACCACAACAACAAAACATCTCAGTGTGCCAGGGTGAAATTTGTGTTTTATTTCAAAAAGAACGAGTTATTTTGTGTTACAACGATATCGGTGAGCAATATATTTATACTCTTGCAACCAGTTGCTGCAGAGTATTATAATATTATTACCTAACGGTTGTGCAATTCACCTAAAACTTAGCGAGATAGATATATGTATGTATATACAGTTGTATGTATGTATGTGTACATAAGTGATCAGGGTGTCAAGAAATATTTAAATTCGGTTGACTGTCTGTCCGTTCGTCCGTCCAAGCTGTAACTTGAGTAAAAATTTATATACATATGCTCATGAAACTCGGTACATATCGCCATTAGCCGAAAACATATAAAGTACTACAACTAAGCAGTAAATTGAGTTATAATAGGTAGTCAAAAAAAGTCTTGCGATATTTTTTTTATATATACATATATATTTTTATTTATTTTTTTTATTTAATTTTTTTTTATAACGGTTTGATGACTCATGCCCAGATCTTGACCGATGCTACGGCTGCTACTATGCCGGCCTCTTTCGACCGATTCAGCGATTTCATCGCAATTTTCGACGACAGGCCTTCCGGAGCGTTTTCTCTTTATTTTGCTCCACGTTTACGACGTTATAACTCACGAACGACTTAAAAGAAACGATAATCAATCAAAGACGTGTTAGCGCGTGAAATGAGCTTTCCAAAAAGGTATAGCATGACTCGACGCGACGAATAAAACTAGAACAGCGCGCTCTCCGCGCCAACTAGCGAAAATACCGCAAGACTTTTTTTGACAACCTAATATTTACTGCATAGCAGATGTCAAGACTACTACCACGCCCACAAATCGCCATTAACCGAAAACTTATAAAGTACGATAAAAGCACTAAATTCAGTTCTATATACTTCTATAGATAATATATAGATTCATAGCTTTAAAGAAAATAATTATAATTTGTAATGTATATACATATATAGTTCCTAGGTGGAACATAGGGCCTCAATAAACAAATTATAATTATTTTCTTTAAAGCTATGAATTTAATTTATTTCCAAGAATAATCACTTCTCTGTGCTTCTGCTTCGACTAACAATTTCTTTTTACTAATTCTCATAGTTATGCTAAAAAAAACTTTTTGTCAGCAAGTTTAGTTGACTTACCTTCAGTGAATTGAAAGATATGTAAATTTAACCATTCGGATGGAGTCAATCCTACTCTAAAAAAGATTTTGGTCCAGTTCACGTCCAACATTGATGCCTCTCTACTGCGATTCCCTGTACTAATTACAGTTTTGTATCTTAACTAAATATTTAGTTATGACACTTTTTAAGTTTTCGTTTAATGGAGTTGTGTGTTGGTGTTTCAAGATGAGCCGAATTAAAAAAAAAAGTTGTTGCGAACGAAGCACATCCAAGCAAGCAATTTGTCATACCTTAAACACAGCACTAAAACAACACAAAACAGTAAATTCTAAGGGCTCGAAGCACTTCCAAGCAAACGGTTGCCTGTTTCCTGGAACAACTGAACATATCTCAACCATACCACTAGAAAAGCTCATGTAAAAGTGTATAGAGCTTAATGGAGAATATTTTGAAAAACTTTAAAAGATTTTCGATGATTAAAATTTGTTTTTAAAATGAAATCGGATAATAACCATGCCCACTCCGCATACAACGGTGCCAAATAACGAACAATTCTCAAAAATATCGATCAATCGGTGACATATATTATATCAGTTCGGAAAAAATCCTTTCCTGATAATAGCATGCCTGCACGCCATCCTCTGACTCTTTCAAGAACGGTGAAATTGTGGCGACGCTTAGCCCTTTGTTACTTGCTTTAATTATATTTTACAAAGATGTTGAATTAATGCTAACAAAAAAGTAGAATCTAAAATCTATTTATTATAACTTATTTGAGCAAGTGTTAGTCATCTGGGGGTTTTCTTACAATTTTTAAGCGTTTCATAAATTTATCTAACATAAAAAAAAACAGACATTACATTATTTTGAAATTACACAGAGGATTTCGCGCTTTCGATTCATCTTACCTCATAGTCATTGTCATCTTCACTATCAACATCTTTGTCGTCTACAAGTGAACGTGATGCTTCTGGAAAATAAAATAATTTTATTTTATTATTGTTAAATACATATAAATCAATATTTTATTTCAGTTTAAGTATGATATCCTGCGACCAGCAAAAAGTAAAAATAAATTTAAAGAATTCTTAATTTTGAACTACTTACTAATTATTTAATTACATGCCCAATTTAGCATGTATGTATATTTTGTGATCACACTACACTAGCAATAACAGTATCGTATTGTATTCAGTATCTTATGGAGCACACACTACTGCTTTAATTAAAATAAAAAAACACTTTATATACTGTATGTATATTTAAACAATTTTATTTATAAATTAAAGTTATATTTTATAAAGATTTTATAAAGATACTCATTTGCCGGAGTTGGCGATCGAGGTTCCGCGAATCGAGGTCGAATTGCCGAGGTCGGCGCAGTGTGTAAGCGAAAAAGTGATGGGCGAACTGTATGGAACGAATTGTGTAAACGAATTGACCTGTCGAATTGTTTAGGACGAATGTTGAAGTGCGAAGTCCATAAGCAATTATCCAATTCCTTTTTGTTAGGTTGATGGCGTATGGTGTCGTCTTGCGGCGATCGCTAGCTGAGTGTGGTGTTGTTGTCGTAGGGTGCGCCAGTTTTCCCCAGGCAGAGTGGTGTATATAGTACATGCGAGGAGATGCTTAAGTCATTTAAACATCCTGGGCCCCCTAGGATTTTGCCTAGTATTACGTATATGCTGGTGCCTGTATTTCGGCATAGTGCTGGTAGAGTAGCCGAGGGCGCAGAACACCTGCTACATATAAATGTTGGAAACGGCTTTGGTTTTAAATATACTCGTACTTTGTATTTGGTATGTACATATGATTTTATGTGCGTACAGTAAGAAACTATATATTGCGCATTTACGACTTTGTAACGGCTTTCGTAGTTATTATTTAAAGCGGTTATTTTGTGGATCACTTATTACTAGCTTTTTCTGTATTATCGGCAAATAAATCGGCTTATGAAGGATAGTATCTGCACTCCTGGCTCATGTGTGGCCAGAATGGGTACTCTTTAGCCTTTGAGTTAGGACTAAGAAATTAGAGGGATCTAGCGTGAGATGACCTAGAATGGAGAACGGCTTAGTAGAGTAGATAATTCGTTATACTTAATTTAAAGTTTTGTATAGTTGATTTCATTTCCATAACTCWCCCTTATGATGAGCGGTTGGATAGATGCGATAAGAGCGACCTTTGCTTTTTGTAAGGGTAGGTGCGTCACTTGATTGCATTGGGTTATGGTGATCCCTTAACTCACTTTTGAGATTTTATTTATTTTTGAAAATGTATGAAAGGTGTCRGTTTTTCGACTTTTTGATACAACTATGTTATATTATATTTTATGTTTCAGTGCGTGCGCACTAATTTGGCGTTTAGTAGCCCGCCACCGCTCTTGGATTTGTTCGGATTTCTTTTTTTTTCAGTATTGGCGAAAGCCATCCTGCGGGGCAAAAAATTAGTATGTTCTTTTAATACATTGACTGTCAGAGGTAAATCTGACTTTGTTTTTTATACCAATTTGTAGAGTATTGGAAAATTGTTACTCTAGTGGTAGTCGTACGACCATTATTTGATCGAGTAGTTGCTGCTTTCGAGTAGCGCTTACAATACTGATCCTTTATAGTTTTGTTGGTTAATGGAAGTTTCTTTAACTTTTGCGATTTACTTAATTGTGAATTAAGGTTTTTGTTCTCAACTTGAGTTGGTATGGTGGTAACTGGTTCTGTAACTAGTCCACTTTGCGTTTCGCTGTGCAGCGTTTGAACTTTTTCTGCCTTTGGGCAACGTGGTGCCTCTTGGCAATCTTTAGAATTGTGGAATTCGGGATTTGCTGTTGCAATTAAGCCCATGTTTCTTTTTGTATAAGCGCTTTTTTGGGGTGAGATGGGATATATGTATGTTGTAATGAAGCATTGAATGGTGTTTTTTGTGACAATAGAGGCAATTGGATTTGCTTTTGCAATTTTTATATGTATGCGCATCTGACAGACAATTGGTGCAAAGTCTTTTTGACCTGACAAAATTATTTCATTCCTTAACTTTTAAGTTTTTAAACCTCTCGCAAGATGTAAGTTAATGCCCTCTGGTAGATAGTTCGCAGCAGATAGAGCAGCGATTGCTCCCATGGAAGTAACTACTTTTCTGGTAATGCGGCGGTGCAAATGTTTACCAGGATAGGGTCCCAGCTGTCTGTGTTAATCTTTAGTGTCGATAGAATCGACAAGCAATTTGAAACAGTGGATTCTAAATTGATGAATTCTACACTTGTTTCTTTCTTAATTTTTGCCAAGTTCATTAGTGTCGTTACTTGTTTATCGACCAGTATTCTTTTGTTTTTGTATCTAGCCTTTAGAGCTTCCCAAGCCATATTGAAATTATCGTCATTTAATGCGAACTGTTTGACTATTACGCCTGCTTGACCTTTTGTTTTGTATCTTAGGTGATACAATTTTTGCGCTTGTATTAAATGAGAATGGTTTATGTACACGGCCGTGAACATGTACCGGAAGGACGGCCATTCTTCATAACCTCCGTAAGAAGTTCTGTGTCACAAGCGGGCAACTCGAGTTGGATGCCTGAACTTGCCTCTTGATATTGTTTGCATTTGTGGCAGCTCTACTCTCGGGTGCGGAGTAGGTGCAATTGCTTTAATTAGCTTTAATTGATCAGAGATCATAGCTTTTGTTTCTTCGTACTAGTCTAAGCAGTTTTCATATATTTTCATATATTCCGATTGTTTCAAATTTTGTGATAGGTCTGAATCGTCAAATTCTACTATGCCGTCATGAGCCGCTTGGAGGCGAGTCCAGAAATTTTTAAGATTTTGACCTTTTATTTCTAATAACGATTCAGAATTTTCTTGAATCGGTGAAGAGGCAAATCTAGTGCACTATCTTGTTAAACTGTCACTTTCTGAAATACATTTAACAACCTGTTTTGGGCGTGTAGCTCCTGCAGGTGTGTTTTGATTTTTTTCGTTATTAACCATTTTTATTATATTGTATATTTGTATTTTAAAATATTGTTAAAGATTTTCTCAGTGTAAACTGATTTATGTTATTTTTTTAGAAGCGATAAAGTATAACAAAGTGAATACTCTTTAAAAACAAATTTTTTTATGTAAAACACGTATTGTTAATGAGTATTAAACAGCGTTTTTTTTATATATTAAAATATTTGATGTCCGAATATTTTGTATTTAGGTACACCCTAATACTCGGACTTGTATGTACATACATATGTATATACGTATGTATGCACTTATATTTTGTGCAATTGAGAGCTCGTTGAAGAGATCAATTCGCTTTGTGCCTAAGTATGCACGAATTGTTAGTATGTATTTCTGATTTATTTTCTTAAGCAATTGAGAACTCGTTAGAGAGATCAATTCGCTTTTGTATGCAATCCTGCTCGTTTTTGTTTGCCAAAGAACAAGGGGGTATTGCCGAAGAATTGCCAATGTTGATTTTGAATATGTGTTAATACGTACATATGTAATATGTGGAGATTTCGTTTAAATCTTATATCTTTTTTAAAGAGTGAGAGCGAGATTAAAAAAAAATGTGTTTTCCTTTGTGCTCTTATGTATTAGACCCGCCGTCTAATATACACATGCCAATATAGATATATACACTTGTGTGTGCATACTTATATATCTATGTAGGTTATAATTATTTTGTTTGTTTTAATATTTGGTTTTATCTTTTGAAACATTTCAACATGTATGTATGTAAATTTATGTGTGATCAATTTATTTTGCTCTCTTTCCAGTTATATTTTCGGTTTGCCTTCGCTTGTTTGTTTTGACTCACTCCTGGTTATTGCTTTATTGAGCATAAGAAGTATTGTCGGAAAATATTGCAAGTAAATAGATACAAAAATTTAGAATTTTTGTGTTTGTTAAGCAGATGTGTGTACATGTTTGAATACAAACTTATAACTTTAAACAGTTTGGTATATTAAAGGGTTTTTTATAATTAGTTTTTGTGCTAATAAACTGCAATCTTTAACATACATACATATTTACATAAATGCATAGTGTCATTTAAAAGAAAAGCAAACGATGCGACTCACTTTATCCTTCATCAAAGGTTTTTTAAGGCGATAATATGCATTTGCGCGTGTGCCTGCGGGTATTAATTGATCTTCTTCTAATTCTGTAGCTTACTGCTCTGTGCGGCCATTCCTTGTGGTTTTCGTTGTTTTGTATTTTTGTGTGTTATTCGCGCCCGAATATTTGTTTTTTGTAAAGGTGCCTTAGTTTTTCGCGCCTGATTTAGGTTTTGTGCTTAGGTTTCGCGCGTTTTTGTTTGTTTGTTAAAATTGTTTTCTATATTTTGTTTTTCCATGTAATTTGTTTTTGGGTTGTGGGCATTTGTTGCTTTTTTGTTTGTTTAAAATGTTTGATGGTTTAATTTTTCAAATCCCCTTTGTTTTTGTTCACAGTTTTGTCACCTCACTGATATACAACGTATGTATATTTTTTTCTTTTTTGTTCTGTTTGGGCCACTACACTTTGTTTTTTGGTCTTTTTTGTTGTTATTTTTGTACATGTATTACTGCACTTCACTGCACTGGTTTGTTTCCTTTTATTTTGTGGTTTGTCTTGTGGCTGTAAGTTTATAGTGCCTGTTTTTTAGGCTCGAAGGACCATATTTAATTAGATGCCCAATTTAGCATTTATGTATATTTTGTGATCACACTACACTAGCAACAACAGTATTGTATTGTATTCAATATCTTATGAAGCGCACACTACTGCTTTAATCAAAATAAAAAACACTTTATATACTGTGTATATATTTAAACAATTTTATTTATAAATTAAAGTTATATTTTATAAAGATTTTATAAAGATACTCATTTGTCGGAGTTGGCGATCGAGGTACCGCGAATCGAGGTCGAATTGGATAATCGCGGTAGAGTGTTGAAGCGGCGCAGTGTATAAGCGAAAAAGTGATGGGCGAACTGTATGGGACG